AAAGCATCAACATTTCATTTGGGAAAAAAATCCCTGGGATCCCAGCCAACGAAAGGCTTCCTATGGAATTGGTTCCCTAGGACTCAGTTAATGATGCTCAGCTATCCAGTGACCAAAGAATGCTGCAGCACTGGACCATGGAGGCCTGGATACTGCCTCCACTGACTGCAGTTCTTGGTGTCATCATGAATAAAGACTGATACATTATGTCCACTTGAGAAGTCTAGATGCATAATTAAGTAACTCAACACTTCGACATCCTGGGGTGTAGAGAACGTGCCTTTACCACTCTAGGATGTTCATTGTGTCAACTTGAGAAGTGTAGAAATTTAACTAAAGTGATTTAGCAGGGGACCAGGATCTTCAATTTGTAAACATCCTGAGCCTGTGCAAGAGGAGGGACAGAGATAGTGTGAGTGCTACACCCTCTCAGGGGTGCATAGTCTACTTATAAGGGAAAAAAATAGGCTTGCTTCTCCTCCCTTTGTTCTTGTCACTTTTGCTGTCTTCTGATACCTTTAAATGTTGCCCCTGGGCCATACCATCCTGCTTTGGAACCTATTGATTATGGGTTGAAACCTCCACAAATGTGGGCTAAATACTCCTTTTCTTTCTTCACTTCAAGTGGCAGGTATTTTACCTCAGCAACAATAGAAAAGTAACTAACACATCATGTGATGCAGTTTTTTAAAAAAAACTTGGAATGTAAGGATTGTAGGGCCAGGAATGTTTTCACCCAGACTTCATAGAAAGTCCTAGAAGCCCAAGAAGGAGTCCCCAAGTGCGTGACACAAGGAGCTGTGGAAATGAACTCAACAGTGTAGCAGAGACCCGGGAGGTGAATGATGCAAGAACATAGAAGGTATATTAAGGAAAACTGCCTCCCATTAGCAGAGTCAGCCCAAAAGGGAAGCTATGCAGGATATAAATAACAGAGCCATAAGGATGGGGGAGTGCAGGTCTTATGAAACCCAACTCAGCATCATTTCCTACGTAGTCTCACAGAGCTACAGAAGTGAAAGTTTTCTGTTGAGATTTGGTCTTTTCTTGTTCTGTCTCTTTTCCATCCCCCTATTCCTACAAGTGTGGCATTGTAATATTTTGGAACTATGCAACTTTTTTGTAATTTTTAGAAATCTGTAGCTAAAAGTTTGCCTTAAGTCTCAGAAGAGACTTAGACTTTCAAAAAATACTGAAACTGTTAAAAATTTGGTGAATGTGTTATTACCTTTTTGGTCAGATACAAGATACTTGTATCAAGTTAGGCAGAATTATAACCTTGAATTTATTTGAGGATTAAGCATAGTTTCAAGAGATGTGTTTGAATATCAAACGGCAAAGTGGAGGAGTGTGATCATTAGGGCAGAGTGCCAATTGTTTGGCTTCAAATCAACTTCAAGAATTGGTAGAATACAGTCTGAGGCATCTGGGTGGATTGTGAAGGCATGATGTTCAGATCTGTAACTGTCTTTCACTCATTCTTTGCCACTGTATCTCTGCTTTCCTCAGCTGCAACAATGAGCTAAGCAGCTTTGCTTTAACATATTCTTACATCTTGATATTTCTTTATTGAGTCTACTTAATTTGTTGAATCCATGAGCGAACTTACACCTTTGCTTCCATTAAGTTGTGGGAGTTGAGTATTGTATCTCATTGACAGAATACCTAACACATCATCTATGTCTCTATTTTTAAGGAAATTTCAAATGTTTTGACTTGTTTTAATTTTCACAATCAAGAAATATGAGTCAGTGTGTTGATTTTCAAATTTGAGCTCTTCAAAGTCTTTGCATTTACTTACAACCTTTACTATCAGTCTTTCCATTTGTGGAAACAGGCAGTTAGAATTTTGACACAGAGTATCTGGTGTAGTGGAAAGCTCTATCTGTTCTGCAGTTCTCAAACTTAGGAAATTATCCATTGTTCCTCTACAGAGTCCTCTCTAAGCTCTCAGCTCCCACAGAACTTACCATACCTATCTCATGATTACAAGTGTGTGTACTGGTTACAAGTAGGTTCCATGTGCTAATGTAGCTCAGCCTCAAATTAAGTGATTTAACCTTCCCAAGTTTCAGGTTCCCATCTGTAAGAAAAGGGTTGTGGCTTGTATCACAATGTCCTCCAAAACTGTCATGTGTTCAGAGGTAGAGATTTTGGAAAGTGTGTGAAACAGGAAGGCATTAACCTCATCAAAAGGCCAATTTCCTGAGGAGTTCACAGCTGAATAGAGTATTAAAGGCAGGGGTCCAGATGAAGGAAGCAGATCACCTGGAGTAGGCCTATATATATATATATATATATATATATATATATATATATATATCCACTCCAAACATAGGTAAAACGTTTGTACCCCATCTGTAATTATCCTTAAAAAATATGTACTTGAGAGAGAGAGAATGTACTCTAGAATTCCAGTAATGCACATTCTTGCAAAGGAAAATTTTATGGAAAAATATTATTGTTTGCCAGGATACTGAGTGGTGGCAAACCTGACAGCAAAGAAATTGAGGATATCAGGCTATTTGGATAGTGATTATGTGGCTATATATTTAACAAAAAATCTTAGAACTATACTGCAAAAATTTTGCATACTGCTAACTGCAATGTATACATTAATTAGCAATTTTCAAAGCATAGAGTCATACTCAAAATATCTAACTAGTCCCCACGGACAATTTAATTGTTTCCTACCTAGGATAGAGGAAAGAGAAACTACAGATGTTCTCCTGGAGTACTCCCCCGAGAGCTCCCGGTCTTCATAGTCTACTCCTGCCTCCTATCAATTAGCTTCTGAAATTCAGTTGGAGTCCAGAGAAATTCACTTTAGAGGGATCATACTTCAGTCCTAGTCCCTTGACCATACTTCATTCATTTGCACGCTCATAGCTGACCATGAATTCAGGCCTTCTCCCAGGGCTTCCAAGAAGCCAACAACATGGGTAAAGGAATTCCATGAAGTAAACTATATCAAGATTCTGAAAATGATTATCCTTCAGTGAGTTATTTTATAGATATTTCCTTACCTTCTCTTTCTAAATAGAATTTCATGGATTGTGTAGAAGAGATACTGTTACTGTTTATTTTATGATAATCTGTAGTTAAGGAGATGGTAAGTGACTTACCTAGAACCCAGAAACAGTGCACAGTTGGCCCAGGACTTGAATTCACGTTAATACTTTTTCTCCAATGCTTCCTTCGTGCCATAGAGCTCTACTTCAGAGAGATTTTTATAACAGTGTCAGTGCAGTTATCCATGCTTGGCTCTCTGATTGCAAGCTCACTTTTCAAGATTTCTGCACAAGCAAGGTAAGATATATATATAATATATACTCAGTGATATCTCTAACCTATGCAAAGGCATCAGACCATCTATACTTGCTATGATTTGTTGAGCACAGAAATTTACATTTTAAGTATTTTACCTTAAAAATAAGTGAATCTGAGATGCAAGTGTGAAAATATCAGCAAGAAGGAGATTGCCCTTATTGCTGTTATAGATAGAATATTTGCTAAAAAGGGTCATGGGTATGTTTTCTGGCAGACATAAAGCTTCAAGGGGCTGGCTTATAAGGAAGTATATCAGAGGTTAAGAAGGGAGGTGGTTGGTAATAGCATTAGCCTTACACGGAAACTGCCCAAAGGCTTCCTATTCAAATAAAAGGATTCAAAATGATGTTCCTACAAAACAACAGACTCCGGTTAAATGTTCCTGAAGTTTTTATATTTTATTTTTAATTGAAAAAATAATTGTATACATTTATGGAGTACAATGGGATGCTTTAATATATATTTGCAACATAGAGTTGGCCAAAAACAACAGATTTGTAGGCTAAAGTCAAATCAAAAACTTTAAACACTTAACCTTCATTCTTAGTAATTCAAACATGGGAAGATACCGCTGATAGAAATAACTAGTATCGTTAATATAGGAAATGGAAAGTAAATGCATGCTAACATGTGGATTTCAGAAAACAAATTCAGCAAAAACCAAACAAGAAAAACAGATACATGGGAGAACTAAATCAGAGGTTGAGAGCAAAGAGAAAAATCTCACTGATCCTACTATGTGAGAAAAGCTAGCTGAACAAGGAGGGTGCAAGACTTCAGAAGTAAGCCACATGTAAAGATGAGTCTACAGCCCCCAAGTATTCAGAGCCAACACAGAGCCTGTCGTTCTGAGTAATGTTGTTATAGTGGGCACTCATGAGATGAACTAACCACCCAGAACGTTTTCACACCTAATTTTTATTCTCATGCCTTGAGTAGATATCATAATACATATCTGTATCATATATATGTACATACACATGATATATATAATTATATGTATATACATTATGGGATCTACATATAATATATAATATTATATAGATATATATTATGATATGATATCAGTAGAGATCATAATATGTATATATCCATAGTATTTATATGTACATATATATCTATATATAATATAGATATAATGATATGGGTATGTATATCCATATCTATGTCATATCTACATATGATATATATAGTGATATGTATCTGTTGAAATGATATGAGTAGATATTGTAATATATATCCATACTATATATAATTTTATGGACATATATTATGATATCTATATATAATATATTCAAGGTATATTATGATATTGGTATGTATTATGATATGATATGAGTAGATATCATTATATCTATATCCAAAGTTGTTATATTGAATAATTCAAAATATTCACCAAAAATTACAATGACATGAAATTCAAAACTGAGAATATTCAAGTATTTATTTCCAATGCAACAGTTTGTAGATAAGCTGCTCTCTTTTACATAACCTCATGTTCACATATAGATAACTAGAGATGTCTATTATTGCTGCACCAAAGTCCTGTATTTGGTATATAAACACTTACATTTTAGTGGCATATCTGTTCCACAGCACCTGTTAACACTCTTACCCTTTACTTTCCTTTGCTACAGGGGACATAACATTCTGACTTGCAGACAACATTGATGGAGAACAGGACAGAAGCGACAGAGTTCATTCTCCTAGGACTAACCAATGATCCAGAATTACAAGTGCCCATCTGTGTCATTATCATTTTCATCTACCTTATCAATGTATTTGGAAACCTGGGGATGATTGCTTTGATTGTTTTAGATTCTCACCTGCACACCCCCATGTACTTTTTCCTGGGTAACCTGTCCCTGGTGGACTTGGGATACTCTTCTGCTATTGCTCCCACTGTTGTGGCTGGGCTGCTTGTGGGAGACCAATTCATCTCCTACAATGATTGTGCTGCTCAGATGTTCTTTTTTGGTGCCTTTGCTACTGTAGAAAGTTACCTGTTGGCCTCCATGGCCTATGACCGCTATGCTGCAGTGTGCAAGCCTTTACATTACACCACCACCATGACCACAAGAGTGTGTGTGTGTATGGTCATAGGCTCCTACATCTGTGGTTTCTTAAATGCCTCCATCCATGTCAGGGACACACTTAGTCTCTCATTCTGTAACAACAATGTGATCCATCATTTTTTCTGTGATATTCCAGCAGTCATGGTTCTTTCTTGCTCAGATAGACATGTTAGTGAGCTGATTCTTATTTATGTAGTGAGCTTTAACATCTTTTCTGCTTTCCTCATTATTTTGATATCCTATGCATTTATTTTTGTCTCCATCCTAAGGATGCACTCAGGTGCAGGTTATCAGAAGGCTCTGTCCACCTGTGCCTCCCACTTCACTGCCGTTTCCATCTTCTATGGCACTGCCATCTTCATGTACCTGCAGCCCAGCTCCAGTCACTCCATGGACATGGACAAAATCTCCTCTGTGTTCTACACCATGGTCATCCCCATGCTGAACCCCATGGTCTACAGCCTGAGAAACAGGGAGGTAAAGAGTGCATTCAAAAAACTTATTTTGAAGATAAAAGAGCTTGATTTTACTGGTGCAGGGTGACACTATCCAGACATAGACTTCTCTGGCTTTCTTCTTTTACTTAGTTTCATTTTAAGACCCACATTGATCTAAGTAATAGATTAATAGGCTATTACTTCTGTAGTCCTGTTTGTAGAAAAAATAAAACATTATGTGCAGAAATGTAATTTTTTTGATTTCTATACTTTTCAGTACTGTCTTGTTTTTTTCTTAATTACTCCAAATTCTTAGTTGAATCATCTCTACGTATTTTCTTTGAAGCTCATGGACTTTCCTTCAGTTTCTTTTTTTTTTTTTTTTTTTGAGAATTCATAGATTTCACCTGAGAGTTTGAACATTTCTATTACTAGGCGCTTTGGCTTTTGTATTCTGTTTTGTCAGTTAGGTAAGGTTATGGTTTCCTAAACGTTCTTGATGCCTGTTGACAAATAATATTTTCTGTATATTAAATGATTACGTGTTACAGAATATAATCTTCATAATTTGACTTTGTGGCTGTCATTCTAGAACTTCTAAGCAGTGTGATTTTTTTCTTTTGAGCTTGGCACCACTCCCACTATTTCAGCACTTGATGACTAAACTCCAAGTCTGTTTTGAATCCATTTTTAGTGTATTGTCACTGTTTCAGCACTAGAGGGTACCCCAAATCTGTGTGTTACAAACCTGCAGTCAGTGTGTTTTTTATGTGACTGTGGGATTGCCTAACATTGTCAGTCCATCTCTGGAAGCCTCTACCTAGGCCCGGGTGCCACATCTATAGTCCCAGGCTTGTGTTCAGGATTTTCAGGATTAAAACCAATCTAAGCCTCATCATGAGGGAAATAAAGCTCTGCTAGGACTGCATACTCACCTCGCCTTTCATTCCCCAGAAGACAACTATGCAATCGCTCTCTACATGTTGTACTTTACAGGTTGAGAAGAAGTGGAGTGGGCAGCCTGCTTGCCATCAATACTAAAACATGACCTTATCCACAGGGTGCAGAAACCATTAAGCCCAGTGTAACAAGAAATAATACATGCTGAGGCATGTTTATGGCCTGACACTACTGCAGTTATATGTAGGATTTATTCAAATAGAAATTCAATTGGTTGGATTTACACATCTCCACCTGCCATTGGGTGGAATCCAGAAACTATTTGTGTAAGAACAGTGCTAGGAAATAGACATTAAAGCTGCCCAGTTTGGGGTTTTTTCCAGCTTAACGTCAAGTTCCAAGACAGTAAGTGTTCCACTTACTGCCCTACAATCTGAAAGAAAGAGTCTTCCCCTTTCCTGTGCTTTGTAAATTTTCAAGAGTCCTTTTGCCACATAGGCTGACACTAAGCTGGTTTTGCCTTGATCTTGCAGCCACAGATGTGGACCCAAACATGAGACCATTCTATCAAAGCACATGTTTCTGCCTGGTGCTGGGGCAGGTCTCCTGGGGTGTTCATTTACTGTCTCATGCTGAATCTTACCATAGTTTTCCTGGCACTGAATTCTAAGGCAAAATCCTGCTCTGACTTCTTTTCCTTACTCGCCAGCTCATCAGATCTGGTTCCTTGCTTTGCCACCTGAGTTGAGGAAAATGTGATGGAAACACTCCATAGAGCTAAATACAGTCCTGAGGCTCCTTCTCAGTACATTTGTGTGGGGCACACAGGCTGTGGGACTCTGCTCAACCCCGAGTTTCACTGTGCCAGACCTGGTTGAGTTTGAAGTCTAAAATCTGAACTTAATTTCTTTCTCTCTCCTTTAAGTTGGATGAGTCTCTCTCCACATTCCATAAGGAAATTGGTTAGGCAAATAATGTTCCTATTTCTGATTTCTTCAGTGTGTCTGTTATACTGAAACCAGGCCCTATATTCTCTCATCTGACTTCCCTAGCTCTTGTGAAACTCATGTAGTGAATTTTTTAATTATTTGAACTCCTTTTTATATAGAGAATCACTAGAGGACTTTAGCTGCAATCTTATTCTCAATCTTTAGTGGTTTTCTGTACTGATACAGCTTTGTTTTCATTTTATCTTTTATGTGTCTGCCTTCTTAATGGGCTTTAAAACTGGATACACTTTTATGATGCTTGTCCTTCTGTTATGGTTTGTATCTGGATGTCCCCCCAAAGCCTTATGAAATCATGGAGGTGGGCTTCCAGCATCTGTTAATGCTGGGATCATGGATGTGAGTGCTACTCCCAAGTGAGTGTGGATTATATACATTATAAGGCACAGAAATAGCTTTCTCTCTGTGATCCTCCCCTTTTGCTTTTGTTGCTTGTGCTCTTTTCTGCTACCATGAACTGTTGTCCTTTGACATGTGTCACTCATCTGTCATTGATGAATTTGAGTGTGGTGCCTGTGGTGTCTGGGTCAGAGATATCACCAACCTCTGAGGGGCATGTGAGGTTACAGCACTCTAATAGCTCGGGTGAGTGTGATACACACAAAAAAATTGGGATACAGTGTTTTGGCAGTTGGGGTAGTGGCAACAGGGACATGGAGCCAAGTGGACATCTCAGCATTCTCTGGGGAAGAACTGGTGATGGAGGCTGCAGCAATGGCAGCACTGTGGACTTCAATGGATGAGTCACAAATCCCCATTTGCACCAATACTGCTGATGCCTAGGCCTCCTGTGGCTGCAGGCGATTGGTGTTGGGGTACATATCATATATATTTATAAATCCTCCTTCCTGAATCAACAAAAGATGTTTCAACTAGTGAATGAATTCAGCATGGAAAATTAACATACAACTCAGGTGCATTTCTGTATACAAATAACAACCTATCAAGGAAAAAAATCCTATTTTAAATAACCACAAAGAGAAAGAAAACCTTAGGAATAAACTTAACCAAGGAAATAAAAAACTGAAATGTGCAAACTTTTAATGGAAGAAATTGAAAGAGATTTAAATAAACAGACAGATTTCCTGTGTTAATAGATGGGAAAAGCTGATGTTCTTAATACATCCATACTTTCCAAAGCAACATACAAATGCAATAAACCATTCTTAAAATTATAGTGACACTCCTTACAGAAATATAAAAACATTTCTAAAATTCATATGGAATCAGAAAAGACTCCCAAAAGCCAAGAAAGAAAGAAGTTTGCATCACTATACTTCCTAATATCAAATTATATCACAAAGCTATAATGATCAAAACAATATTTTACTGGCACAAAAACAGGCATATGACTATTGTTTCATGATGAAAACATTTAATGTCTATTCCTTCATCAATTTGGAATCAGACAACCTGAAATCAATCACTAAATCTTATTCTTCCTGTCTCACTGACTCTTTGGTCAGCATCTACCTTTTGTCATCCACCCTTCCTGTCCATTCTGGTAGCCATTATTCTCACCACATTGTACCCCATAGGTACATACATAATTACACCCTTAACAAGTGTGAGTAACATTATTGCTCATCAATTAAAATAAGTTTTTTAAACTTTGAAGTATGAAAAGTGAAAAAAGATACATAGTTGAATAGGACAGAAAGGGGCATCCCAGAAATAAGCCCAAATATAGTTGATCAACTCATTTTCTACAAAACAACCAAGAAGACCCAAGAGATAAATATAATTTCGATAATAATGGTGCTAAGAAAGCTGTACTTCCACATGAAGAAGGATAAAATTTGACCTTTATTTTGCACCATAAGCAAAAATCCACTCGAAATGGATAAAACATTAACACATGAAATCATAAAACTTTTAGAAGAATACAAAGGGAAATACTTGACACCATCTTTGGTAATGAATTTTTTATGTCAAATTAAAGCTCAGGCAACAAAAAGCAAAATTAAAGAGAACTATATCAAACAAGAAATCTTCAAAACAAAAAAAGCCAGCAAATGAAAAAGCAGTCCATAGGTGGAAAGGAAAGATTTGCAGATCATACATCTGATAAATAATTGATACTCAAGTTATTAAAGAACTCACATGTTTTAAGAGCTGAAAACCAAATAACTCAATTTAAAAAATGGACCATGGAACCTGAATAGACATTATCCCAAAGAAGACCAAAAAAAAAAAAAAAAACCAGCAGGTATGTGTAAACACAATTAATGCAACAATGATCAGGTAAATGCAAATGAATATCATGATTAAAATTCACCTTGCATCTGCTAAAGTGGTGATTATGAAAAATATAAGAAAAAACAAGTTTTGGCAAAGGAACAGGAAACCCTTGTTTTTTCCATAGTCAGCTGTGCATTGCTGGGATGAAGTAACTGACAAAGCTACTTCTAGGGTAAAGGGAGGTTTATGTTGGCTTACAGATCTGGCAACTCATGTCTCAGTCAAGCTTTCCTGGTGGTTTCAGCCTCTGATGAGGATTGCATGGCACAGAGACAGGGTATGTCAATGCCAGTGCCTGTACTTCAGGTCAGGAAGCAGAGAGAAAAAACTCAGCTGGGGCTCCCTAGTACCTGTGGAGGGCACAACCTCAGTGAGCCAAATCCCCCCATGATGCTCAGCTTAGCAAATTTCACAGCACTTCTCAAAGCTTCCACCCCAAGTACCAAGCCTTTAAAACATTTGAACATTTTGGGAATGCTTATTCAAATCTAACAGCTTGTATACTCTTGGAGTGTAAACTGGCACAAGCATAGTGGAAATCAGTATGGAAATGCATAACAAAGAGAAAAATATACTTACTCTTTGATACAGCAATCCCTCTTTGGAGCATATACTCAAAGTAAATGAAATCATCACCTCCCAAAGACATATGCACTCTTGTGTCTATTGCAGTATGAACCACAGTAGATAGGGAAATAATGGAAGCCACCATCCATGGATGGAAAGATAAAACAATTGGAAGAATTATGCTAAGTACAAAACCAGGTGTAAGAAAACAAATACTCTGTGATCTGACTTCTATGTAGTATAAGAAAGAAAGAGGGAAATGGGGAACAAAGGAAGGGAGGAAGGAAGGAATGAACGAAGGAAGGAAGGAGAAGGGAGGGAGAGAAAGAAGAAGGGAGGGAGGGAAAGAAGAAAGGAGGAAGGGAAAGGGAGAGGAGAATAAAAAGAACTCATTGAGGTGAGAGAGAAAACTGGTTACAGTTAAACTGAGGCACTGGGGAGAGGGAGGAAATTGAAGATGTATGTTGAAGGATATAAAATTATAGATACATGGGATGAACAGAAGATCTGATATAAACATGAAGATTATAGTTGATAATATTGTATGTGAGATTTTTAAAATTTTTTTTATTTTTAACTTTTTATCAGTACTGAGGATTGAACTCATGACTGCCTGCTTGCAAGGCAGGTGCTTGGTCCACTGAGCTCAATTCCCAGCCCCGAGATTTTTGTTGAAAGAGAACATTTTAAATGGTCTTGTCACATAAGAAAAGAATAATTATGTGAAATGATGAACATTGTTAATTTGCTAAATTATATATAATGGAGGCCTTTACTGAGCATATACATGTCAAAACATGAATAACTTGATACAAAAGAAGACAAGAACTTCATAAAAATACATTTTAGGACAATTTCTCTGATGATCATATATTTTTAAAAACCTCGATAAAATACTAAAACTGAATTGAGTTTCCTGTGAAAAGGATTATTTATCAGGATCACTGGGAATCATCACAGGAATGCAAGGATGGTTCAAGTTAAATTAATCAGTGAGATGCACCACATGAACAGAAGGCCAAGAAACATCATTGTCAGTGGTGAAACTTTGCAAATTTCCAAGGTATTTGAAGAGAACAAGAGACATTATGGCAGCCATTGTTGATTTCCCGATTGCCAGGTTTTGAAAGCCTAAAATGCTTTCATCATTCTGTTCTGATGAGTTTAATACTGTTCTGTTTTGTATGAATTCATTGTGTGAAGATTTGAACAACTATTTAGAAGAAAACAAGAGACAAAATGGTACACATGATGACCTCCTGTTGTCTTGCTTTGAAATATGTGTCCCTTATATTGTTTTCTTCTGATCTGCTTTGTTCTGTTTTGATATGTTTAGTTTTACCCTTTTTAAAATAAAATTTTAAAAAAAATTCTTAAACAAAAGGATAAAATAGAAAAAATAAAAATCATAATAGAAACAAATTTAGAACAATTTTGCAGCTATCAGTGAGGGAAATATCTGAAAATGAATTAATCCACTCCTGATATTTGTGAGTGACACCATACTAAAGAGTTGGAAAAAAAAGAAAACAGTGGAAGTAGTACAAATGTACACATGTGCTTCTCAACACAGCACACTATAGTGCCACACTCAGGCTAGTGACTTGTTCCCTTGATGAGCTGAAAGAGCAGAGGATAGACCTCAGAAGCATTCTCCAGGAGCTCCATCACTGCTCATTGTTACCTGGCTTCTGTTCACCAAGCTGAAGTCCCACAAGGACTTGGCACAGTTCAGTTTCTGAACAAGCTTCTGATCATCATTTATTGAAACAAATGCCATATTGTAGCCTTTTCCGAAATCATACATGCAGTGAGTCTGTAACCATAGGCAGGGAAGGTTTCAATGATGACAAATGTATTGGTCCATGCCAAGGGGGGATCCTGCATGAAGATCTTAGATACCATCCTCAATTTTTATGCACAGGACCAATTCTGTAATTTATGAAGGAAGGTCTATTTTATTGCTTCCAAATCATAAATAAGGAAACTGGGCTCCACAGAAGATAAAACAACCTTGCTGAGTACACAATTAAATTCAGGATTGATACAAGGCTTAAAGATGCATTTCCTAACTCTGTGTTTATATTTCTATTTATGCATCAGGAACATTGGGTATTTTAGACTACTTCTTGAGAGATTTCTCCAATATTATTTATTCATTCTTCCAGAGATGGTTTTTTGATTTCAGACACACAATTCAAGAGTTCTTTTCCCTTCTTTTCAAAGTACAAGGTAAGCTTCTATATTGGATAAACATTTGTATTAAAAATGTAATTAATACCAAAGCAACTGGGGCCTGGTACATGTTCTGTGAGTTTTTCAACTTAGATCTGGCTGAACCCCTTTCCTTAAAACCTTCTATGGGCATAAGAACAAGCAAAAAAATGTTTTGTTCTGGATATAGTACAATAATATTTATGAAATGGCATGCTGCCTTCCCTAACAAAAAGAGCAAAACCTATGGTAGATTACGATTTCATCGAGCAAGTGGTAAATTCTTCCTGTGTAAATGTGTTGCCCATCGAAGGGGGTGTTCACCAAAACAGACTTAAATGACACATTGTTAATCACCATTCAACTAACGGGATCTACACTATGTTTCACCTTAATTCCCCAAACTCACCCTTTCTTGTTCATATAGAAAAATCTGACACATCGTGATTAAAGGCATATTTAATGCTCAGTCATAGATGGATTTGTATCTTTAATATCATATAGTGAGTATGGAATTTTAGAGAAGTTGCAAACTCAAATATTCCATTTCCTAATAAATAAGCATACACACTCTATGTCTTCCTCCTCTGTTACCTACCAGTACTTATAGCCATCTAAGTGTGTCTATGAAAAAGATGGCATTTGAGCAGTGTTTCAGCTGCTACTAAGGTGAGAAGCTCTGCTTTGGGAGATGAGATTACTCCAGGTACATGAATCAGGACAGGTTTATAACCCTTTCTGTTTCTCTTTCACAGACATGC